TTCCAGCCAAACAAAAGACAGGCATATGAGTTGAACATTTACCTGAGGTAGATACACTCCTTGAAGAGAACAACCATGGGAGAAAGAAGGGCTGCTTAGGCAGAGGAAGACAGCTCAGTGGGGAGGAGTACATGGAGGGATGGACACAGGGAAGAGGTAACTATGGGGAGGAAGTGGGAGGGGAACTGTCGCACTGTGGTAAATTGTGGCCAACGTCATGAGACAAAGTGTATGTGAACTGCTGTATGGAAAGTGAATTTGCTCTGTAAATTTTCACCCAAATCACACACACACACAAAAGATAGAATCTCCAGAGGCTAAGAGACAATCCACACAGAGATTAGAAGACAAATGATCAATACATATGGGGTGCAAGCAAGATGGGCTTATTTCTGTATTTCCTCATCTGATAAATTCTAGACTTGGTCTTTCCATTTTTAAAACAGCATGAAAATAATAAATAACAGCTTTGTGTTATGGATTGAATTTTGGCCCCCAAAAAACATGTATGGAAGCCCTGATCATGTGTTATCATGATTTAATTAATGTGATTAAATCACTAGATCTAAGGGAGAGCAGGTGACCTTCCATAATGTAATGTAATCACCTTCCATACGCAATCCAGTATAATAGAATCAATCAGTTGAGGTCATACTAGTGCAGGGTGCTTCCTAAACCTAATCACTTCTGAGTTATAAAACCAGCAGAATGAACACAGCCGTGCAACACAAGGGAAGGCTTGCCTACAAGCACAGGAACCAAGAATATCTGGGGCTATGAAAAGAAGGAGTTGACAGGGCAGACACTGATTTGGGCTTTTACCCTCTAGAGCTGTGAGGAAATTGTCCTTACTTCCCAATCAATGGGAGAGAACCACAATCTCACTGAAGCAGAAATAATCGCCCACAAGCCTTTCTTTCCTTCCTTCCTTTCTTCTTTCCTTTCTTTCTTTCTTATATCAAATATACATTGCACATCTTGTATGTTTAAGGTATATCCTAAACACTGTTGTAAGTGCAAGGAGTATAAAGCAAAATAAGAAATAGCCCCAATCCTTAAGAAATTCACAATCTTCTGGCAGAAACAGATATATAAACAAAAACTTAACAATGAAGTAATTCAAATAGAGACCTCTGTAATTCTATGGACATAGTAGTTGATCTGTGCTCATGTATTTAGCACACTATATTTGTATGGTACTTGGTGCTTTGCAAAAGGTCTTCAAATACTTTAAAGCACAGTATGTGTTGATACTATTAGCATAAATACTACTTATGAAAAAGAAACTATGCAAAGTAAAACTTACCTTTCTTCCTCTACCTATAAAAAGAAAAAAAATATGTTATTTTGTGGAGAAATGGTTATTGAAAATCAGCTAAATATTTACTTTCAATAACATGTTTCTTGTGGAGTTAAAATTTGACTTAAACAGATTTTACTATCACTATATGGCAGAAGTCATAAGTTGTTTTGGATCGATATTTCTATAAAAGGCAAAATACAAT